ATTGGTGAAGAGAAGGGCGATTCAAAGAACGAGTCATTATCGTTGGATTGCCGCGTCTCGCTATTGTATTCGGCAGGTTTCGTAGATTCTTCTGTTGCTGTGGTGGAAGGAGACTCGGCCACAGAAGTTTGCGCGTCAAACACAATCGAGGTCACAGGTTTCACTATTGGTATGGCCGACACAGATCGTCCAAGAGGAGGATTCGATCTGCTCTTTGGAGGGGCTTTTGTCACTTCGTTGCGAGCGACTTGATGATTGAGCTCACTCCCCGACTGAGTCGCTGGAGACTGTGACATTCGATATTCCTGTTGCCTGCGAGCCCATCGCTCTCGATGACCCGACATCTCATTTTCTGCTCTTTTCCTGGCAATCAACTGTGCTATCGTGTTCGGGTGCGTCGCTAATACAAGTGCTTCGCCTGCCTTCAGCGGAGGTTCCTCGGATTGAGTCGTCGTCGGAATGTTCGTATGTGGCGTTTGCGGAGAATGCGAACTCGGCTCCGCAACAACGGTTGTGGATTTTGCGTCGGCTCGGAGGTGGGCATCAGTCTGTTCTGCATTCTGTAACGCTGTCCTAGAAAATGTTGGTTGATGGACGGCTCGAGATTCACGCTGCACTTCGGAGAAAGAGCGCTTTAGAGGATTGGCCTTGGTTGTAGCGTATTGGCCCACGCGAGGGGCGGTAGAGTGCGACGAGATCGACTGCGAGGAGGATTGAGAACTCGGTCTATGTTGCGACTGCGTGGTCACAGGGGTAGGATTGGACGATGCCTGGGATATCGAGGTAGAGTTCGAGAGAGGATGGTCATAGGGCCCTGTCCCAGACGCCATTGTTGCAGCGAGGGAGCGTGAAATGGTAGAGAACTGCTGCAGCGAGGCGGGGATCTCAAAGGACACCGGGATTCTGGAGACTGCGGAGAGCCGTGGTGAGGGCCAGCCCTTGCGACGCGTCATCCTGATGGTGAGAAAGCGTGGGTAGGCATCTTGTATGGATGAAGGCGAGGTGTACAATTTGACTCCTGTGATCGAAGGACATCGTTGAGGGAGGTTGGCTGCGCGAGGCGTTGGAAGCGCTCAGGTGGTGATTGGTAAGTGGACAAACCGTTATGTATGGAGGGCGCCGCTGACGAAATCCCAATTACAATCTCCATCTTCGTGATAGACAAGTTCCTCAACAAAGCTCACATCCTCACTCCGGACTCTGTTGACAACTCCTCGCATTGTTCGTCTATCTCTTCAAAGATTGCTGTTCTTGCTCAATATGACGGCTACTACAATTTCACCCAAGTTACGCTACGGCACGACCACTTGGCCGAAACTCTCGATGGTCATTCATCTCTCGCGTCTCCTCAGCTGTTGCTTTTGACTAAGCTACCCCAAGCGAGAGGAACAGAGTTGATTTGCATGTCTACTGTGGAGAAAAGGCCTCAGCGCTGGGACGAGGTCGAAACCCCTCTGGCGGTGCCTGACCTTGTGAAGGGCCCTGTTTCGGGTAAAGCCTCTTTGAGTCGAACAGAAAAACCTTGTACCTTATTCGGGAACTGACGCAGTGGCCTTTGTAGGATCCGGGCTTGAAGGATCTTCGCATCCTTTTCCGGTCCCAGGACAATGGATCGCTGACAGTCGACGATTCGGCTGTACTTACTCGATCATCAGGCGATGCGCTACACTGCTGGCAGTTCACCCCCTCAATGGCCAACATTTAAGAATTTCCCGCCCATCTGATAAGAAGGAATACGAGGGACACACCGGTCCATGGGAAGTTCTCCAGACAGCTTTGAACGTGGAGTTAGCCGAGGATATCGGAGACTCATGTCCGCTTTTGAGCCTGAGCTCCTTGGATCACAACCTCAGCCCAATATCAGGGTTCCCAATCATCTCGTCCGATATGCCGAACCCAATGCTGACCCCAGATTCCTCTATCCCATCAGGTCCACCTTGTGGGTATTTGAGGGGATGCGGGGATCTACCATAGCGTGACCAGCACCAAATCAAGCGACTCGCCTTGCTTGCGCGGTTCCGCTTCAACCATTGAAGAGGCTTGGGTCCTTGTAATAGGCTTTGGTCTTTACATGCTTCCAGCAAGCGAGCAAAAGGAGGAGAAGCTGCTACGCTACATCCATTCCACCGGATCTCAAGCACGTTGGGACGGCGGGGTCCTGTGTATATAAGGATACCAACAATGTCCGAGTGCTGGAACTACCTGGCTGCCGTTACCTTACATCCGATTACTCATACGTTTCACCTGCCCTCCAGCTATACGTGATCATCATGGGAGACCCATCTGAGCCCAAGGAACTACCCGAACGCGTCTTGAAGAGAGATCTCTTCGAATTTGGCCGACGACGCAGGACCGATGGGCCTTATGCGGATAACCTTGACATAGATGTATTGATTGTTGGCGCGGGGTTCGGAGGCACGTATCTCCTGTATGAGATGCGTAAGGCAGGCTTCAAAACCGTTCTGTATGAAGCAGGTACCTCGTTTGGAGGCACGTGGCGATGGAACGTCTATCCAGGTAAGGGCTTTTATCTCCCAAACCATATCATTCGCTCAATTGACTCTGGCCTAAGGCGCCCGAGTTGATTCCGAGGTTCCCATCTATCAACTTGCCATCCCAGAAGTATACAAGACCTGGACCTGGACGACCAACTACCCAGACTACCACGAGCTTCAAGCATATTTTGACCATGTGGATAAGGTCTGCGAACTCAGCAAAGACTGCGCATTCGAAAGTGTGGTCACCAGTGCCGAGTTTGACACAAACTCTGGGAAATGGAACATCAAAACTGCTGATGGCCGCAATGCCAAATGCAGATTCTTGATCATTGCCGCCGGGTTTGCAGCCAAGAGATATATCCCGGACTATCCCAGCATGGAAAAATTCAAGGGAATTATGCACCACTCTTCATTCTGGCCCCCGGAGGGCGTTGATGCTCGCGGTAAGAAAGTTGCCGTTGTTGGCACTGGTGCCTCCGGGGTGCAGATTATTCAAGAATGGGGACCTCAAGTCGAGAGCTTGACCGTCTTTCAGAGGACACCCAATCTTGCATTGCCCATGGGTAAACGCGACCTGACCAAGGAGGAGCAAGAACGACTGTATCCCGTATACGGCGAGCTCCTTCGCATGCGGGAGAAGCACTTTGCGGGTTTCACCTATGAGTTCGAGGAGCGTAACACCTTTGAAGACACCCCTGAGGAGCGTGAAGCCGTCTACGAACGCCTGTGGAAGAAGGCGGGCTTCGGTCTCTGGCTGGGTTCCCACAAAGACTTCCTCTTTGACATGAAGGCAAACCGCTGCGTCTACGACTTCTGGCGCAAGAAGCAGGAGAAGCGCATCAAGAACCCCGAGAAGCGTGCTCTACTCTGCCCTGTTGAGCCTCCGCATCCCTTCGGCGTCAAGCGACCATGTCTCGAACAGAATTACTACGAAGTCCTGGACAGCGACAATGTGAATATTGTAGACATCTCGGAAAAGTCCGGTGTCAAGATTCAAGAATTTACCGAGACCGGTATCAAGACCAGCGACGGCAAAGTCCACGAATTCGACATCATTGCCCTGGCGACGGGCTTTGATATCACCACGGGTGGGATGACAAATATGGGGTTGAAGTCCATCAACGGCACCACCTTGCACGATGAATGGAAGGAGGCAGCCTACACTTATTTGGGAACCACGATCTCGGGATACCCGAACATGTTCCATCTCTATGGTGAGTCAACAGTTTCAACACGGCGATTTACCAATGAACTAATGTCCCTTTGTGTAACAGGTCCTCACGGGCCGACCCTCCTCGCCAACGGCCCCTCAGCCGTGGAAGTCCAAGGTCGCTGGATCCGGGACGCCATAAGAGACATTGATCACCAGGGCATTAAATACATCAACGCAACCCAAGAAGCGAGCCAGAAGTGGAAGGATCACATCAACGACCTGAGTAACATAACCTTGCTACCAACCACAAGGAGCACATGTGAGTTTTTCCCTCCCTCTCTCCCCCCCCCTCTCTTCATTCTTTCTAGGCACACAGACATGGCTGACTTAGTAATCTTTCGTTGCTCTTGCTAGACATGGGCGGCAGTGTTCCAGGAAAGGCGTTCGAACAGGTCAACTATGCGGGCGGCATCCCAGAATACGTCAAGGAGATCCGGGCCGTGTTGCCCAACTTCACGGGCTTCCACGTCGTCAAGGCCTAGAGCGCTAAAGCCCCTGAGGCGGTTGCGATCCAGGTACTCGGTATATATTGCGAACCTAGGTAATTGGTCCAGCCTCGTCCGACAAGAAGGAGGTGCCCAGGCCGAGGCTCCACCCTCTGGCGCTGTGGAGGATCGGCGGTGTCAGGAGCGGGTGCCGTGGGGGTTCGTCGTTACAAGTGTGCCCTTCGTAGGTGTGTGTAAAGATAGGGGGAGAGGAGGAGAGGGCAATCGAGATTCTAGTCCTAGTCACCCAGTCAGTCGGCCAGTCAGCCAGTCGGCCAGTCGGCCAGTTAGTGAACCAGCCATTCAGTCAGTCAATCAGTCAGTCAGTCAGCTAAATAATTAGCTAGTAGTTTTAAGGAATTTGTTTGAAACACGGCTCACTAATGGAGCGATGTTGATATTTATATTGCTATTGAGCTGATTGCTGTTCAAATCATGACACAGAATCCAAATCGACCGCCCACCCTATGACCTTGCAAATGATGTTGGTCATTCCGAAATTGCCCGCCCATCATCCCAAAGTACTGCCAAATAGTCCTAGTGGTACATCTCAATTCCCGGAGCAGGGAAAATGGCCAGCCCGGCTGTCACCGTCGTATAAGTTACCCCTTCCCTTCATAATCATGCAACGCTGTTTCAGCATCATCCAGACGGGAGGGAGCCAGCCCTGCTGCTTCCTCCAGCAGTGTGGTTTTGACCTCTCGTCACCTACATTTCCTTCAGATCACTCATTGACTCATTCTCTGCCCATGCACCCCATACTCGCGGACTCAATCGCCATCGTAAGCACACCAGATTTCTCAATCATTTCTTGTTGTCCATGTACATCTTCGTCAGGCTGGTGATCACTGGCGCCAGAGTCTTGTAGTGTTTCTGGCCTTGTTCAACTAGATCATTAATGTTATCGAGTGAGAACCCCTTTTTCTTGTCCTTTCGGTCGTGGTCACGGTCTCGACTGTCGTGGTGATCTCTGTCTCTGTCCCGATCCCGGTCTCGGTCTCGGTGACGGTCTCTGTCGCGGTCAGAGTCATGGCGCCTGCGATCCCGGTCACGGTCGCGATCACGGTCTCGATCTCGATCTCGCTCACGATCGCGGTCTCTCATTCTGTCTCGATCAGAGCGGCCCCGATCTGACGCATAGCCATCGTCGCGACGTGAACCACCACCGCCGCGGTGTCTGCGGTCGTCATAGCGATCATCATCTCTTCGGTGTTTTGGGGCGTCCCGAGGATCAGATCGATATCCCCGTTCACGGTCGGAGTGTCTGTCTTCGGGACTGCGGTGACGACGAGGCCGAGGTGGCTCGTCATCGTAAGGAGGATCGTCTCGACGGCGACGATCCAGCTCTCTCTGTGTGTGGGCGCGACGAGGTGGAGGTGGTTCAAAGTCATCGTCATAATCTCTGCGCCTGGCTGACCGAGCAGCAACGACCTCTGGTTCCGGAATAGGTTCTCGATATCCTTTAGAGCGGCCATAGGCCACCCCAGTGCCGTTGCCATTTCTTGGGTCACGGCGAGCTGCTTCGTCATCATTGGAAAAGCTACGTCTTCTCCTGGGTGCAGCAGTATTGGATTTGCCTGATTTGGGATCGCCATCCTCACGATACCGGGGAGGGTCGTCTTTCACATCACGACCGGATTTCGGCTCGATGTCTCGAGGATCAGCATCTCTCTTGCGTCGTGATCCGTCACGAGGATCGAGGGGCGCAGGGGATGGTTCATGGTGAGGGTGGCGGGGTGCCGACTTTCGAGGGTCGCCATAGTCATCGTCATCTGGGTAGCGAAGACCGCCGTCGGTGTCGTATCGGGTACGGTCTCGGCGCGGACGTGGAGCATAGTCATCGTGGGAAGACATGGTGGATTGGTGGATTCGAGGTGAGAAGAGGATGAGAAGTCAAAACGGCAAGGGTACGAGTACTTGTATATGAAGAATTGCCTCGAGGGAAATCAGCAGGACAAAGCCGAGACCGCTTCAAGGGTTGAGATCATATTGCAGCCCAATGACCCACTGAGGTACAAGGGGCGCGGGACTTTGTTCGATGACAGCTGGGTGATTTTGGAGGATGGGAAAATCGCACGAGATGAAGCAGGGTGGCAGGTCTAGTGAGTGGTTCAGCTGGAGCATGTGAGAGCATACATTTATTCCTTCTGGAGGTTCGGAGTTGGTGCTCGCAGGTTTCGTGCAGCCTAAGAGCCGTGACTGATGGTGACTGGTTGGTACCTACCTGCCTACTGCCTGCCTAGGGAAGGGCTTGGAAGGGGGATCTCCAGGGTGGGAGGCCACACTCCTTGATTGCCCCTAAAACTCCAGTGACTCCCTAAACCAACCTCCCGGCAATTGGTTGCGTCATTTGACCCTGAAGCGAGTCCTGGCCCCGACCACGCCCGGCGTGCCCCTCCTTGCCCTCTCACCCACTCATCCACTCTACCGAGTTTCTTGTCCTCGTATCTGCCTGTGCCCACCGCCTCTCCTGACTCTCTTCCTATCATTCCATCCCCTTTCAGCTGGTCACGCTGCTGCAACGAAAAAAACTCTATCTGTACTCGGTACGGCAAAAGAAAAATCACCTCCGAGCAGAAGCAACCAGAAAAGCGTCCACGCGATTCCCCCACCCCCCGAGAACCCACCAATCACCCCGGATTTCCCAAATTGCCACTACCTGCCTGCGCTGGACCCTCTAAAGTTCTTGTATGCGACTCAATCACCAGGTTAGGCACAGCACTTGCGCCATTCTTTGTTCGAGTCCTGGCGATTGTGGTCAGAAAGAACAGTAATACTGGCCAGCAGCGCCCCGCCCTTCTTCATCTAGGCCTGGATATTAGTTTTACGGCGCCGAAAGGCTGTAAAAAGACGCTTGCGCGAATAGCAATATTCTCTAGCAAACATGCTCCATGATTCGCCCTGTGGTTATCCGCGAAAGCCGCTTCCTCAGCCTCGCCCCTGGAAATTCGACCAAGTCATATTGACGAGGAGCTTTGGTACTGAACGCAAAGGATGCATGAATGTGGATCTATTTGGCTGGTCTTGAATCAAAACGCGGTGAGTGAGTTCCCATTAGTTCTGGAACATCACACTTGCTGGAAATTCCCGGCTTGAAAATGGTACCAGTGCGTGATCATTGCACCTTGGAAGATCCTTATCACTTCTTTCACACGACACTTAAACACATAGTGTCAAAGCTGTGTGCTACCCCCTCTACTCTCGTGGCTTCTGCACAATTACTTGTGGAAGGATGGTGTCTGGACTATGACGGCTGAATGTCAAGATTCAGTTCAGTGTTGCAGTGCTGCGATTCAACTTCGTGAGGCGGAGGATACCTGCTTTCAAGTTATGGCCATGGTCATTCTAGTTGAGCTCTCCTACTTTGCTAAAATATCATCATCGAAATACCCTCTACTCTGACAGGATCTTCTGACCGACCCTTATACTCCAGCCATGGGACGCCTTGCTACTGAAGCAACCAACCTACTACGATTCGGGAGGCTGCAGAGTGAAATCTGAGTCCAAGGGAGAGATGTAAGTCAATTAATTCGAAACAAGCTATCAGTTGGGGGGTCGACACCTGGTTTCCAGCATGAAACGATTCAAGATCATTTCTACGAAGCCAAAATGCTGTCTACAACTTGCAAACGCTCACAGTCGCATTTCGATCCCGGGTTTAACACTGAGGATGATGCCACATAGTTTCTTGTTATCGATGTGACCTAGATAGGTCCTGAAAGGAACGCGGTGTAGTGTTTCAGAGCTTGACTATATGCAGTCCGCCGTGGAACAAAACGCTACATTCCGTACGGATCCCATTGAACGACAGAGATGCCTACCAAAAGGGGTTTACAGATGCTCGGGCTCATCTACCATTCTTGCTCCTTGCCCTCCTAATTCTCCTTCTTGCTCCGGCCAAGTTCGGTGATCTCTAGCAAAAATGCATGAATGCACTGCTCATTTTGACGACCTGGACCTGGAGACAGCTGATCTCATTCTCAAGCTGCAGCTTCAAGATGTCGAAGAACTTCGTACTAATTCCAAAGACAAGAATCGGGATGGCGAGCTCAACGATGCTCAAGTGGCACTCTCCTTGTTTGAAGAGAATATCGAAAGCATGCGCTCGATTTTATTCGATCGACAGATGACACAAAGCATCACAGCTGCTGTGCGAGCAGACGCAGAGGCTATTGCCGACGTTATTCGCGAGGAAGAAGTCGCTTGCGAAGACCACGCTCATGCGCATCGTCTGAATGGAAGTTGCGTCACATCCGAAGTCCACTTGCAGTCCAGTGATCTCAGCAAGAAGATTCTTGCAAGACTTGCGGGACGTTACGTGTCCCAAGATGTCGGCTATGAGCTGCTCAAAGATACCGAACCCGACAAATGGCGTGAACCAGATGACCATGGTCAGGCCGAGAGCTCCATAAGAGGGTCTGCTCGCGAGCACGCACTCCGTGACCCCTCCACTCTCCGATGCGTGATCTGCCTAGAGGTCAAGAAGTACTTTGACGTGATCGAGGTACCCTGTGGCCACGGCTATTGCAAACCATGTTTGCAGGACCTTGTCAGTAGGGCCACCAAGGACGAATCGTTGTTTCCTCCGCGCTGCTGTCAAGAGCCTTTCGAAATGAACGTGGTCGACATCTTCCTCACAAAGGAACTCAGAAACCAATTTGAACACGCCAAAGTCGAATTCGGTACTCGAGATCGGACGTATTGTTCTCTGGAGACATGCTCTGCCTTCGTCACTTCTAGCAACATCGAGGGGGATATAGTAGCTTGCGGGAAGTGTGGTACAAGGACCTGCACCTTCTGCAAAAAGCGAGCCCACGACGGTCATTGTCCAGAGGATCCTGGAATGCAGGCCACGCTTAGCCTTGCAACTGAGAGTGGATGGCAGCAATGCTATGCGTGTCATCGGCTGATCGAGCTCGATGTAGGCTGCAACCATATGACGTGAGCGTTCCCTTCTCCTCCTGCTTGGATTCTCATGACTAATTCAATCTAGATGTCGATGTGGTGCACAATTCTGCTACGTCTGTGGTACTCAATGGAAACAATGCGGCTGTGATCAGTGGGACGAGGGCAGATTACTTGCACGAGCAAACACTCTCGCCAACCGTGGCCGCCCCAATATGGCTCGTGACGATCCCGGAAGATTGGAGAGAGCTGTGCGTGAAGCAGCCAATATGCTAAGAGATAGGCACAACTGCAGACATACCAGCTGGCGATACATTCAAGGGCCGCACAACTGCGAAGAGTGCTTCCACAGCCTACCCAACTATATCTTCGAATGCAACCAATGTCGAATCCAGGCTTGTAATCGGTGCAGAAGAAATAGGCTATGAGAGGGTTGGGGCCTTTCGACGCAGCCATGGGAAAAGAGGCTATGGTGACGACCTATTTTGGTAGTACCGTGCAATATGAGGATTGAAGAGGCATGATACAGCAACGGTTCCCGAAGCAAACTAAATTCGAGCCGTATTGTTTCAACTATCTCTATTAGATGCCTAGGGATTTATTGACCTTGTTGAGAAGCAGAACGTACAAGGCTGAGGTCACCTCAGAATGACGTCATTAGGAGTCTTGAGCGGTCTTATTGGCGGAACACGATTTGTCCGCAGGACTCCAAATGTTTGCTGCTAAAGGATTCTACAGGTACGTCTCGACGTGTGCCTCTGTACAACACATTGCTGAGCAGCTCAGCGCTTTTCATTCCCTTTATCTTCTCGATCATTTTCCAGCGCACAATCTTAACGCGCCTCCAAGACCTGGATCCTCATCGCGTCCCCCCATGCGCCCAAACTTCATCCGCCTCGCCGTCACCAACCCCGCGAATCCCCTGGGCAAGACAATCGCAGGGTCCTCTACGCCGTCGTCGCGTCTCCGGAAGTCTCCGCCCCTATCTCTGGATCACTTCATCCAGCGCCAACGTGTTCTCTCGCTCTACCGCGACATCCTCCGCTCTCTGTATCGACACATGTCCCATCCCCAGAGAGGGGAGAGCATCGCGTATGCGAAAGGCGAATTCACACGGAATAAAGACGTTCGAGAGATCGAGAGGATCAGGTATCTGATCAGTACGGGCAAGGCTGAGTGGGACGGCGTCAGGAGGGGCGTGGAGGAAATGGGCCCGGCGCGAGGATGAGGCTGAGCCGGATGGAAGACCTGGTATCCATTGAAAGTTTCCCAGCAAACGTGCTATACAAGGCTACTTGGGATGTGACCTACCCACGGCCGAAAGAACTCTTGAACTGTTGATGAATGTGTGGTGGCATTTATTGGAATCGAGGTCAGACAAAGTCTCGAGAGTCGCCGCTTTGGCGACATGTCCAGGCCATGGCAGTCGAGGGATGCCATGTCTGGCAACTTTCGACCAAGGCGCAGGGACAAGCGCAAGCTGGCTCTCGCTGGAATTGAGGATTGGGTGCAGCTACCCGCAGTTTTGAACCATCCTCACCACTCGAGACTGCTTGTAACACAAAGGGAATCGCCTGGAAGCCTAGCTTGTAAGGGCACCACGACGTGGAGATCCTGTGCATAGTTATACCCCAGCAAATATGATTTTACTTTCACAGGACCCAGTCCAAACAAGAGTGGCGACGATAGTAAACTCTCGATCCAGGATCGCCTCACAGAATGCTCGAGACAAAATGTCTCAGGACCTTTTCCAGGCATCCCTCGTTCTCTTCGCCCACATACCAGGACCCCAGCCGTCCCCATTGACCTCCTCCAGCACACTCTTATTCCAGATGGCCCAACTGCTCTTCTTCTTGTCTCCTGACCCGGCTGCTTCAGGGAGCGCCGACTCTTCCTGAGCCTTCTGCAGCCCCTCCTTTCCGCCCTCAATCACTTTTTCCGCTTTCTCCCTGATATCCTCGCTCATCTCTCTGGCGTCTCGGCTCATCTTCTCTATCTTTTCCCTCCACTCCTTGTCCTCCTGGTCTCTGGCCTCGAGTTCAGCCAGCCACTTCTCCCTCTTCTCTGCAGTCTTCTTCTCTTCCAACTTCGCCTCGAACTCCTTCCTCCTCATCCTCTCATCCTTGTAGAAGATACTACCCGCCACCAACGCCAGCAGCGTGAAGCCCTGAGCGTAGATTCTCGCGCGGAACATGCGATTTGTTTGATGATGGTCACCTGCGCGGATGGATTTGGTCGCCATGTACAAGGCGTAGCATGTTGCGGCGCAGCCCAGCGGAATCAGAGGTTCTTGACGTAATTTGCGCCAAAGCTTTTGGAAGCGGGACTCTTCGAAGAATTCAGGCGATGAATCAAAGCTGGATGGGATGGCGGTGGCGGTCAGGGGCGATGGCCCAGCCGACGTGGATGGGTCGTCGGACATTGTTGTGAGGTATTTCCCTCAAGAATCGGCGTGGACGAACGGGTGTGTCGCCGTCTTCGCTGACCGGTTGTGCCACCACAAGAGAGGATGGGCTTTGAGGAGATGGTTAGGAGTTGATTGCGGTGTTGCGCAGGACGAGTCGAAAGAAACCTAGAGGTGAAAGTCGTGACGTACGTCGATCTGCTAGCAAAGAACGCGGAAATATGCTCGCGTGCGGGCTCGAATTAGAGGAGTCCAGATAGACAAGCACAGACCTTTCCTCTGAGTTGGCCACGACTGGATCTTGCTGCAAATCGACTAATCCTGGCTTAGCCTACCCGTTGGGTGCCCGTACAGTACGAAGGTTAGGGAGAGGTATTGACAAGTAAAAGGGCGCCTGCTCGAAGGGGGATGTTGGAGCTATCGAGAGCTTGTGAGGTCCTCTAACCCTCATGAGACAGGCGGAATGCGGGGAGGATGAGCTCCGATAATTTTTTGAGTCAACAGGAAAATCCTACACGCTTTGTTCATCTGTAGCACGAACAGCCACCTACAACACAATTTCGAGAGAAATTGACCTGTCCACAAGTACCTGAGAGTCATTACTATCGCTGGACGTCACCATGGACGCCGCCGATCCTCATGTCAACGGCACGACAACTCCCTCGACGCCGATGCGATCAAGTCTCGCGCTGACCGAGTACACCGCCATGCCCACACCACCCTCCGAAAGGGCTGACCTTCCTACCTACGACGTACCTCGAGACTTCCTCCTACCCTCGGGCTATCCAGACTATTTGCGGTTGATCCTCACGTCCCGGGTCTACGATGTTGTCAGCGAAAGCCCTCTCAGCCATGCCATCAATCTCTCCAACCGTCTCGAATGCAAAGTCCTCCTGAAAAGAGAAGACCTACTGCCCGTCTTCTCCTTCAAGCTACGAGGCGCATACAACAAAATGGCTCATCTTCCATCCAAGATCTCATGGAAAGGCGTCATTGCTTGCTCAGCAGGTAACCATGCGCAGGGAGTGGCTTACTCTGCGAGACACTTGAAGATCCCTGCAACCATCGTGATGCCACAGGGGACACCAGCCATCAAACACATGAATGTCAGTCGCATGGGTGGAAATGTGGTGCTACATGGACCCGACTTTGACTCGGCCAAAGACCACTGTCATGCCTTGGAGAAACAGTATGGGTTGACCAATATTCCACCATTCGATGATCCATATGTCATTGCAGGGCAAGGGACGATAGGTATGGAGTTGTTGAGACAGACGTCCTTGCAAAAGCTCAAGGCTATCTTCTGCTGCGTCGGTGGTGGGGGTTTAATAGCTGGCATCGGGGTGTATGTGAAGAGAATAGCCCCTCATGTCAAGATTATTGGCGTCGAGGCTTCCGATGCCAACGCCCTGGTCGAGTCTCTCAAGCTTGGGCGGCGGGTGCTACTAAAAGAAGTCGGCCTCTTCGCCGATGGTGCCGCTGTCAAGACAGTGGGGGAAGAGACATTCAGACTTTGTCAAGAGGTGGTGGACGAGGTTATCGAGGTCAGCACGGACGAGATTTGCGCTGCTATCAAGGATGTCTTCGAAGACACGAGATCAGTGTTGGAGCCAGCAGGGGCTTTGTCACTAGCAGGTTTGAAGAAATGGGTCGCGCAGAATCCGGATACAGATACCAGCCGCGAATTGGTTGCGGTTGCCAGCGGCGCCAACATGAACTTTGATCGACTAAGATTTGTCGCGGAACGTGCGACCTTGGGTGAACAGAAAGAGGCTCTCCTGTCTGTCAGTATTCCAGAACGCCCGGGCTCATTTGTGCAGCTCATTGAGGCCGTCCTCCCACAAGCCGTTACAGAATTTGGATACAGGTATTCATACACCGACCAAGCACATGTCATGATGGGCATCACGGTTTCCTCAGCTGGCGCAAGGGCACGAGAACTCGACTCACTCTTTTCCCGGCTTGCAGCTGCAGGAATGACAGCCAAAGATCTTTCTGAGGATGAACTTGCAAAGACACATCTGCGATATCTCGTCGGTGGGCGGTCCGGCGTCAAAGACGAGAGAGTTTACATGTTTGAATTCCCAGAGCGACCGGGAGCTCTCTTCAAGTTCCTGAGGACATTGCGACCAGGCCAGAGTATTACACTCTTCCATTATCGAAACTATGGTGGTGATGTGGGCAGGATTCTCGCAGGCATTCAGTGTCCCGAGAATGAGAGGGATCAACTGGAGGACTTTTTGAAGGACATTGGATATCCTTTCAAGGAGTGCACGGACAATGCCACGTATAAGATGTTCTTGCGAGATTAGGATGGGAAACTGCATAGGATATGGTGCTTAGACTTGAGATACCCTGGCACGGCGTTTAGGGAAGATAAAACGGGCTGGACAATATGCAGGCTGTGGTTAGATCAGGCAAAAGACCAAAAAAAAGATATTTTGGGACACAGACGACGGTGTAGAGCCGTCTACCAACTCTTTTTGCGCGTAATTTGACACCGTGAAAGTCGATCTTCCCGATGTGTCGAGTTGTTAAGTGACAATAATACATGTTCCATTCTTAATCCTCGACGTAGAAGTCTCTGCAATACTAGCCAGCGGATCAAAAGAGCGACGACGTCCTTGTAGAGTGATGGTTTGGCTCGTGTGAAAAGAAGATCACAAGATCAAGCTTTTTCTTGTTGCCTTCAAATTTCTGATCTTCGCCCTCTCGAGATTTCCAAATGAGATCGTCTTTCGTGCCGGACAACAACTTTTGGGACAACTTCGCCTTCGGATTTTGGCAATGAGTCGCTCTGCAATTGCGCGAGAATGGACTCAGATGCCGAGAACGAAGTGCCAGTGCCTGACCCTGTCTTTCCATCATCCCCTGCTCGACCTACAGTTGCTGGTGCGCCGGACATCAACACATCTCAGTCTCGTGGTCCGGTAGCCCCGCGGACCGTCCCGTATGTGACATTAGACGATAAATTCGCACAGGGGGAAGAAGGCAAGACATATTTCAGCCGGCCGAACCGCTACTTCGGCCCCGTGTCGACGTGGAACTCTTGGACGAAGGCGGAAAGGACAGTGGCTCTGAGTCTGGACCGTGTGCGCAGCCAGGACCTCAGTATTCACCTCTTTGACGCTTTCGGGCTGAAGCGCAAGCTGCGGCAAGAAGGAGGTGGAGGGAGGGAATCAAAGCGCAGTAAGAAGGGCAAGGAGAGAGCGTCGTCGGTCCTCTCCACGACGTCGAGGGACGATGAGGACGAGTCTAATCAGGCACGACACACTGGGGGGAGAAATGGACTGGCCAGATCCTGGACAGCCTGGCCCATACCTCCTGATCAGGTTCCCCGGGAAGAATTGTTGCCCCGAATGGAGGGAGATGGCGGGTATCGCATGGCAGTCGACTCGCGGCCTAGTGCCAACCTTGAAGAATGGCTGATTGCCACCGCTACGAGGATCGCTCGAGAACGATGGAATGAGAGGCGCTGGGAAGCCCCATCCACGACCGGCGCATCACAGAGGGATATGAAAGTCGACCATGGAGAGGCTGAGGTGGACGTGCCCGAGGATCAAGAAGCTGTGGAAGAGGCAGAGAGTCCGGACTCGCCAGAAGCCACAGAAGAACCAGTATTCTACTCCCAACCGTTTTCGTTCTACGATGATGATGATGCTGCTGAGCAGGCGTCCGTTCCCGCCGAAGGAGAGAGTGACAGTGATACGAGTGAGACGGAGCGACGCCCCGTTCCCCTTGCGGACGACGAAAAGGCGCGTGAATACTTTCTTCCTAGCGCGCGACATATCCTGAGCCAAGTCGATGATTTGCTGCTCGGTCTTCATAAAGCTAGATACGCATACGCATTCAAGCCACCAAGCAAGCGCAGGGCGAAATATTCTCACAGTCCCGAAGACGACACAAGCGACTTCGCCCGGGGAAGAAGCGGTTCGCGTCCTGCTGCTAGGCAGAGGGCACGTTCAGCGTCCGTGTTCACCGACATATCGAGCGCGTCGGTCCCCTCTGCTGCTTCTGGTGCACGGTCCCGAAGGGTCGAGAATCTCGGCTTACGCGATTGGAGCGATGTGATGGGCATGGCTACCCTGACACGATGGGATCCCGCAGTTGTTGAACGCGCAAGTCGGCGATGTGCAAAGCTGTTTGACGGGAACATGCTGTACCGCACTTTCTACGAGGGAGAGGGCAAGGATGGGAGTGCATCACACTTTACGGAACACCTTGCTTATGAGTCTGAAAGTCAAGCGCCATCTCGGACGGGAGAACAAGAAGCAGAATCCACCGAAGACGAAGGTCTTTTAATCCGCACCTCCAGACCCTGCGAAAGGTGTCAGGCGACGAAAGGCGAATGTCAGCCCGCGAACGGCGAACATGGAGGAGCAAGAACGTGCAGAAACTGCCAAGAAATGGGTAACGCATGCTCAGGAATTCAAGTCCAAGTGGTCAAGAATGATCATATTTGTCCACATCAATCTTGTCCGAGACACAAGGTTCCCTTTCGCAAAAGATGGTACCTCCATAGGCACTTGGAAAGCGTACACAGGCAAAGACGTGGTTCGTGGGCGATCAAGAAGACGCCAGCTTCGCGCAGTACTAGTATCAGCGCCAACAGCGCCAATCTCGAGTTTGATACCGACAGAGAATCAGACAACGATCCGGAGCACCAGATCGTCTGCCCTGTCCCATCATGCCCACGAGCACGAGTGCCTTTTTCAAAGGGCAAGAAACTCTACGAACACATACGACGGATGCATCCAGATATGGACGTCGATAAAGTCAAGAAGAGTGAGGCGTCACGCAGGGGGGAGAAAAGAGGTAGATGGCGGGATGAGAGACGGACGAGGAGTAAGAGTAAAAGTCGGAGCAAGAGTCGCTTTGGCGATGTTAGTCGCAGTCAAAGTCGGACTCGAAGTCGACGAGCCGGTGCGACGAGGGAGGAATATGGTGAGAGTGAGAACGAAAGTAAGTGGAGGTCCATAGATGAGGATCGATAAGAGGGAGATGAGGAGTTGATGTTCTTGGTTGCGGCGCCTCCCTTTCCAAACATGCCAAGCATTCCGCTTAATAATGTAGACGTCAATGAAGGTTCCGGCCTGGACGCAAAGTCTTGGCACAATCCATCTCCATCCTCCGTCCTCAGGCACCAATTCCATTGCATTCCACCCGTCTACACCAAACGGTGGAATGCTTTCCTCTGTCAACAACGCCCCTGGAATCACCCATCTGCTGTTAGATCAATTATGTTCCTCATATCTTCTTGAAATGGTCCTGCATTCCTCCCTGCTGAATACCCACCACCCTCGCGCCGTGGGAAGTCCTTCTATCTGAAACTATACTGTCCGAAGAAAAAACGCAATGCGAGCCGAGACATCAACCACCCTTCAAAATGGTCTGGACGAATCGAACGGTCCTTCACCTTTGAGGCAGATGAGAAAGGGCACAAAGTCGTGTCAAGAATGTACGTATTCTCCTTGTCTTCCCCACTTTTGTTCGGTTTCTGTGTGATCTACAACGTTGTTTTGGGCCTATTTTGGGCCTAGGAAAACACGCTGCCTCAGGTATCCATTGAGCCGCCTCTATCTATGCTCGAAATCCTTGGACAAAAGGGAAAGTCAAAGAGGCCTGACTTAGCCTCCAGCCCATGCCGCTTTCGACTCGTCCATTTCAGATGCTGGCCTGGACAGGTTGAATCTTCTTTGTTTGCCATAAAAAAAAACGGTATTTCATTCGGTGCTTCAGTTCGGACGTTCGCTTCATACAACCTAATTGCAAAGAAACAATCAGTCTAACCCATATTCACTCCCAAGGCCGTCGCCGAAAGATAAAGTGCAACTACCCACAAACACCGTCTTCTTCCTCCTCGCAAGAGAAGAGAAAATGTATCCAATGCGAAAAACACAATCGCATCTGCCAAATTCAAGGCTTTGTCGCCTTGGATACATCTCCTCAAGAAGCCGTGGACGTTTCAACGTCCTCGAAACCAAGCACCCGTCAGCCGAGAATTTACAAGAGACGCCGTGAGATGCAGTCGTCGACTAGTCATTCCGAAGATGAGAACTACCCGCGTGTGAAAATCCGCGTAGACAGGATGGAGCCCTTGGTCTCACGGCTGGCCCGAGAGCGAGACCGGAAAGGAACGCAGGTTGACGTCCTTGCCAATGCCTCTGATCAAACCCAGAGCAACAACTTGACGTTCCTGGGCAATTATACAGCGCTTGATCCCACATCATATCTGGGTCAGGAACACGAATTCAATCCCACATTCGACCTGGATGCACAATTGGGTCTTACTGACGGAAACGCTTATGTCAATGCCTTGAATTTCGATCTGGGCTTCGAGTTTGCGAATATGAACGGCTTTTCCGCCAATACTCACCAACAGCAATATGACTCTACACAGTTCCAGCCACAGACCCTGCCGGAGCAAGAAATCCCGACCGAAATGGCAGCCTCGGGCATATTCAACTCTCACCAACCAATCCCACAATTGCGGCAGTATCCTCAAGAATCAATAAATGACACAGGAGATGTCTGTGCCCCAACCACGATGGCTTTGGAGGAGCATTGCAAGACACTCAGTCCCTTGCTTTCGCAGCTGTTCAACAACGAGATGTTTACACAGAACGCGGCCTGTATTTCTTCCATCCTAGCCCAGAAGGTTGAGTTTATGAGCTTTTCAGACCTCACCAAGTGTGTCGACAGCACGGATGCCGAAAAATTGCTCTCGACCATCTCCTCTGAACCACACGTGCACGAGGTGCTAGATATTTCTGTAAAGTGGTGGATCGCGTGGCGAGACCAGGCGGTGGCGATGCAGGAATTCTCCCCCTTTCGCAAGGATGACCGACAACAGACTCAGGCCCAAGGGAGTTCGACGTTGGGGAGCTGGGTGTCGGGCATGCAAACAGGGGCTAATGCCTCTCCCTTCTCTCACATATGGCCAGGTTCTACTACAACGTCTCATACGATGACCCGTTCTGACGAACCTCTGTCCTTCCGGGATTTCGTACTCACCAAACTATCCCGCACGCACGATCTCGTGTCGCTAGCCACAGGACTCCTTTGTATTGCCCTGTCCCTCTACCAATTACGCCCTGGTGTCGACGATCAGAAGCTAAACATCTCTACATCCCCATCCGAACTAGCCGACCGGATAACGCTCGTCGTCGATACGGTCGTTCTCTCTCCCACGGCCCAGCAAAAACACAAACATGACCCCGGCATCCTGTTGCTCCTGATGATACGTGCCAAGATGTACGCCGAGAGCAATCAATTGCGCAAGTCCTGGTTGAGCACACGCAGAGCTTTGGAAATCGCGCAGGAGATCGGATTCGCAGAGCCCAAGATACCAGCTGACGCGGGCCAATTTGCGCCGAAGATGTGCGGGCAGCAACTAACCCAGCTCTTCAACAGACAGCGGTTTATCGGTTCCATCATGGAGCTCGATCGACTCATGAGCATGACCCTTGGCTTTCCCCACGCGGAGGACGTCAAATTCACGGACCGTCTGGCAATGGCCGTGTTGAAGGGCCAGACATCCAGTCGAGACGGGGCATCGGTGTCTGTGGAAATCAAAATGCGCGCTTTCAGGCGTGTCGTGTCCATTGCTGCAGGCCGAGTGAACGACCGCAACGCGACTTCTGACCCGGATCCGGTGAAACTCCAGACCACAATGGAGATCCAAGCAACGCTGGATGAAGTAGCAGCAGCTATGCCTCCGGACTGGTGGGACGTGGAATCACACCTTGGGGTTTCCGATTCGTTTCGGGCGCACGAAAATCTCCTTGCTCAGATGTGGTTCTGGCAAGTCCAGGCCTTCCTCCATCTGCCATTTATGCTCAAAGTCGATCCGAATATCGTTGCACAGAACCAACACCCCGGCGACCACATTACGCCGGATCCATACGCCGTGAACAAACATCTCTGTATGCAAGGCTGTCGCAGCATGCTTCGCATCTTCAACTTGCTCCGTTCCGATCCATCCCTCGCCGTCTACATCTGCAGCTGCGAAGATTTCCAGGGACTGTTCAGTGCGTGCATCCTCATGGTGGGCCTATTGATGCGCTTGTCATACTGTTCGGAGTCTCGATCTCAACCAGCATCCGTCGGGATGGGAAACATCAGCGACGACCTCGCTCTCATCGAAGAGATCAAGGAGGTCTTCCGGTACCGCGCGACCCAACAGGGCGGCAGCATCAGTAGACAGGGCCTCAAAGTCTTGCGGGAGCTGGGCTCCTTCCTGTACGAAGACGCCGACTCTCTCCAAGGAGCCGATGTGAAGCACCGGACCGTGGTCCTGCCGTACTTTGGGGCAATCCACCTCGAGTTGAGGCCGCCGCGACTCCTGCGCCGCAAATGCACTGGCATGGCCAACATGTCACACCCATGCAGGGTCCCGGAACTGAATGCAGAGCCACCACAGATGGAATCTCAGAGCTCGTCAGAGCCAGTTTCCGACGAGGGATTTGGGCCGACGTATCCCGACCCGTTTGACTCTACTGCCTACTTACCAAATTCCGCTTGGGATGTACCAGGCAGTGCTGACGCGGACGACGCGACGTTCCAGTTCTCCGTGGAGCCCGGAGCGAGTTTGGATTGGGACCGTTTCCTCTTCGGGAACGAGCTGGCTCAGAGTTGGAGCGCTGAGGTGCCTGAATGAATGGACTCCGCCCGTGAGTTAAAGACATGACACCTTTATGGCAGAGAAAACCAAGTAACTGTCTGAGATCCAATGTGTCTGGGAGTGTCAGCGAAGATTGTTCGGGTTGGATCTAGATTTCGCTGTTTCTTGAAAAACAAAAAAGAGGACTCAGAGACCAGGACCGATATTGTATAACATGACATGGGACGAATTGGACTTGAGCGGCAGATAACGAGAATAGTCTCTCTCTCAGCTCGCCACTCCTGATGACCGACCACGACCGCAATATATGTAATTTTCAAACCAGACCTGGATCCGAATCCCTTTTTGTATCGGAGTGTAGTTCTGGAGAAGGACGAAATGGTCTGCCTTCTTTCTCCCGAAGCAAACAGCGCGGTGGAATCCCCCGGGGGGGGGGGGGGTCGACTTTCTATCCAACGCTCAGTCTCGCCGCGCTATCTCGCGAATGGCGTCCGCGTAGAGGAATTCCGAACCCGTCCTGACGCGGCGCTGGTGGGGGTATTCCGCCACGTTCCCAGCGACGAGGGTCGAGATGGAACTCGCCCCACGCTCGAGTACGCCTCCAAATGTCGCTGCTGAGCTCTGTCGTCGGCCCTGGCCCGGACACTCGGCGTTCTTCTCCACGTCGTTGTCGTCGTCGTCGGCAATGTGTCTCGGGGGTGTCAGCACGTCCGCGGCCCACTCTGGCGGCGATGCGCTGTCGCTCCGGGACAGTCGGCCCAGATGCTTCGAGGTCGAGACTGCCGTCGTTCCAGTTCCGCGGCCCAGATCGAGGGCCATGTCGGCATTATCTTTGGTCGTGGTGGGCAGGCTGTCGGTCACGTCGTTGGAGGCGACGTCGAAAGTGTGGCTCAGGCTCACCGGGACGGGCCTCGCGTTCCTGAAGCGCGCCACCTCGACCAGTTTGCTGAGGACGGCGAACTCGAGCTTCAGCTTGACCGAGTAGCAGAACCCCTTGAACGCGACCTCGGGGATGTGCAGGTTCCGGTACTCGAGGACCAGCAGCGCGATGTCCAGGACGATGATGACGACGTTGATGATAAACAACTGCCACATGACCCGGTGGACACGTCTCTTCTTTCTCTGCTCGGATGTGTTGGTCGGCGAGGCTGCATGGAGGCTCTGCGCCTTGACGATGTCCATCGTCTTCCAGAGGTAGAGGGCCGAGATGATGAACTCCTGAATGCAAAAGACCGTCATCTGGATCTTCTCCACGTACGTGTAGGCGCGCGAGAAGGGCGCCTGGGCGGGCGGCGAGCCATAGTACGAGCCGAATTCGACTACGGTGGTCGCCGTGTGGAGGGTGAGGCCGTCGACGATGATCATCCATTTGACGTACTTGAGGATCCGGTCGTTGCCTTTTCCAAGCACGATTCCCAGTCGAGAGTACAGCACCACACTCTGCCCGGTGATGGCCGTCCACCATCCATAGTCTGGGAATGCGTCAGTGAATGCTGAGGACGGGGGGAGCATTATGGAACAAACCCCAGCCATGTGGGCAAAGAAATGGCTATTGTATTGAACGCACACACAAGAACTCACTGTTGATAATTAGGCCCGCGAGGCTGGCCACCTGGAAGTAGTTTAGGATGAGCCCAATAGTGTAGGGAACCAGTCCCGTTGTTGCCACCAGCAGCGACCAGAAATAGAGGCCGCGGTAAATGGCAAAAGTCGTGAAGATGAGCAAGACCAGCTCCAGTGCATTGTATAGACACAGCGCCGAGGTGATGGCCACAATGCTAGTTGTCGTGTCTAGGCTGCCGGTATAGTGGCTATTGCTCATTACGTCGCAGAACGATGAGGATGCTGTCGTCGTCGTCGTCGTCGTTGTTGTTGTTGAGCACAGCAGGCTCTTGACATGACCGGGGTATTGGCAACAGCAGTGAACAATACATCAGCAAAACCTAGAGAGTGAACCAGCCGCCGACGTCAAATGCATCTCGCGGCATGAGATGTCGTGGTTACGAGGAGTAGAGACCGAATGAGTTTTCTCCGGAGGCGGTGCCAACATATCGGTCGTGACCGCTGCTGGGGGGTAAATTCGGACTGTGGGACTCATTATTGAAGTCGGGGTCGAGGTCAAGGCGGATGTGGCTGCGGGTGCGGCGAGTTATACCGAGTAAAGACATAGGTCAGGGATCCTGGATCCTGGATAGTCTTGGGCTAGTATATGTAGGAGGCTTGCGGACTGGACGTCTAGACGCTATGATTCTCGTTACGCATGGAAGGATCCGAATCGTCAGGAGTCAGGCCGGGTCCCGTGGGAATTGTGGAAGGCTGGAGATTACTAACGAGCTCCGATCTTCCATCACCTCCAAAGTAAGTAGTTTTGTTAACCTGATAGAGTAGGAGAGAGCGCGTAGGATCTCTTCATTTACAGCGAGGGATGTGGCCCGTGCAGTGCTTCAACATTTCCTACCTCGTCATCCGTGTCCCATATCCATGCTACTTTTTTTTTGGTTCACCGGGCCCGCTTGGGAAATCCTTCCCTTCTGGCATATTGACAGCATGGGGGTTGACAGGCCATCACTCGATTGTTCCATTCGCAAAGGGATATTGTATGGTCCAGAGTCGTATATGTGATTTTGGTCAATTTACTTCTGCACAGAGGATGGGTTACTGTTATCAAGTTATTTTCTACCAAGATCTTCCTGTGGAGAGAATCGAAGTACTCGGTTTTACGAGGTGATATACGAGGTAAGAATTTCCAAAAGCGGTGGATTTGATTGACCAGTTGACTGGGTATACCCGGCGTACCCGATTGGTCGATTTATGCAATCATCACGTGAACATTCATGTGATATTTTCATTGTCTTGATAGCCCTTCAATGCCTTAACTTGTTGTCCTTGTCGGTACTAAGGTGGGTTTTCCCGATCACTCAACAGGTCGCCCTACAGTGTTCCTACCTCACGAACTATTTTGTGCTGCCGTGTAGGCTTCGGCCGTCAATGGGCTACCTCGGCTCTTTTACTTCCAAGACACCATTCCCCATTTAGTATTTACCCATTGGATGAGGTTTGCCCTGATAGGCGATCTTCGACATAGGTATATAAACCCAGTTACTGTAGTATATAACTACATCGTAATGCCCTTCATTTGGAGCGAAAACGGCATAATGGCCCCCCACAAAACTGATCCAGCTAACCGAAAATAGCTTCACGTATACTCGGCACAGCCAAGAACGAGGCCGGCTATTGCTTTTCCGAACGAAATCTCCAATCGGCTCAGTTTAGCCGGGAGTCCTGTCGCAATAGCACATGCCAATGGAGCGCTGTCTTTTGGTTTTTTTCTGGGACGTGAGAAGAAGACCTAAGCAAAGAGGAAATATCAAAGTGTTAAAAAGTCGCGTGGATGTCTACGTGCCATCACTTTGTTTGTTTGATTGGAGTCGATTCCACGAACAGTGAAAGAACCCCACACGTCGTTTTCCCGAGGGCCTTGGGAAGTACGAAATCATTACAGTGATGTTCTCCAGCTTTTGTGCCGCGGCTGCACCAACAAGATTGGCAAGTCAACGCGCCGAGGGTGAAGTCTATTTCAACGATGAGCCCTTGATCCAAACATTTGAATAGAATTTCACAGGTCATCATCACCACCTCAACATCAAAACACAGAAAAAGAAGGGAAAAAAAAAAGATGTCCTCGTCGGAGTCGATCACCGAGGAAGCCGAGCAGCAACTGGACAACTACCTCCGCACCTTCAACGCAAGAGATTTCGCGGGAGTCGCGAAATTTTACGATGAGCCTTTTGCATCCATCTCACGAGCTGGTGTGTCAGTGGTACGTGATCACAAGGCCGCCGAGGATTTGTTGGTCAGCACCGTCGAACGCTTGAAGAAGGACGGGTTCAGCAACTCTGTGTGGGCGGCGCCCAAGAAGGTCATTGTGCTGGACGAAGCCGGCCTGGTGCTCGTCAGCTGTCCCTGTAGGAGACTGAGGCAGGATGGCACTCTGTGCGAACAGTTTACCGCAACGTATACCTTGCGGAAGACGGACGACCAACGGTGGCTGATTGTGGCTATCCATACCCATCCATTTACCGATCAATTGAATCGAGAGTCATAGATCATGCTCAAGGGTGTCCGGAACGAACGCGCAAAGACAACTTCTCTTGGCTGTTATAGATGGATATCAAATGGCCGCCATACATTTTCTCACCACTCGGACGCTCGCCCTCGGAGAAACACATGGTCTGTCAAGGCAACTTGAATTACATGTTGCCTTGCGCTCTGAATATCTATAGAGGTTTTTTTCCTACCCTTGATGTTAAAGCGCATGCATCAGGAGCAAGAATTGTTGCTGCTAGATGAATCATATCTAACCAGCATTGGTACTATAAGTTGATGGTACAAGAGTTTTCGCTACTCGGGTGTCCATAGAAGAGCCAAGTAGAGCAGCGTACGTCAAGTCGACTTCACACCCACAAAGGCGGGCGGCCAAACCAGTAGCGGATCAGCAAGCTGTACATAGGCACGTAAAGAGATTTCCCAAGATCCACGCCATCCATCCCAAGCAGTAGGCCTGTTGATCATTCTGTCATTTTATGGCTTGGCGGTTTCGATACTTTCCTCGCTGGTAGTGTTGCCAGTAAGGTGCGCACCTTCAAGCCGACGGATAACATCGTGGGTGAGCCTGTCTTCGATCTTTGGCCCGAAGCAAGCAGCCACTACAGCCAAGACACCGAATGGAATACTCGAGTAGAACACCATCTGGAAGGCCTTTGCATATGCCGCCTTGTTGGCGCTCACCGCTGAGGCAATGATCGATGGTGTCACTCCAGGCACAGCACTGATTGCCGAAGCGCTGCCCGACGCGAGAGCGCTAAGGAATTGGGTCAGAGACGTTGTCGGCAGTCCTGCATTTAGCGCCGCCGGAACTACCATGTCTTTGGTATAGTCGGTCAACTTGTTGGTGAGAATCGAGGAGAAGATGGCGGCTGTGAAGGGGTCAGCCTCGAATTTCAGACGGGATACAACTTCAAACATACTGGCAAGAACACCACCAAGGGTTCTCACGCTGCCGAACACGCCACCTCCAACCCCCAGCTCTTTCTGGTCAATCACCACCGTGACGATGCCGATGGCCAGGCCTTCAATCAGGCCCACAGCGAGCGAACCTAGAGCTACCAAGACGGTGGAGATGACCTTGCTTTGACCTACGCCGGCCATCCCACCAATGAAGCCGGTCATAGCCATGGCACTGAAGATGAGCTTTTCTCTGGCGTGTCCGCCGGGCACTGCAAGGGCGGATCCCGAGGCCTGGCCAAGGGAAGTGCTTGCGGCGATGGCACAAGTATAGAGACCTCCAAGGACAACGTCTGTGGTGAAGAGGGCCGCAACCATGACGGGGTAGATGACTAGAGACGGTAAGTCAGGGGCGGCAATGTCGGCAGCCTGATCATACGCACCATTGATAGAGAAGTATACCATGCCCCCAACAGTGGTAAGGATCGTGATGGAGGCATAATCCCGGTTCAGCCATAGGTGCATCGGCATGAGAGGGCGGTTGAGTGGCATATATACCTCTGCCGCAAGTCTTAGCACACGCCCATGATGATGACCAAGGGGACAGGGATGTACCATAAAGAACAAAGGCAACAGATACCAAGAATCCCACGATAATGCAGGAAATAACGTGAGCTGATTTCCATGGGTAGATCGTCCCGCCCCAAGATATCCCCAGAGTGAAAAGCACGATCCCGCCGGTGTATAGAATGACTCCTCCCACGTCAAGGTCCCTGACTTCGTCCCAAACTGTTCGGTTCCGATGAAGAGCCGAGAAGCGAGGAGGATGGTAGAAAAAGAACCACAGGAGAAGGCTCACGAAGTCTGTGAACCATCAGTCAAAGCCGACCAGAAGAAAAGGGTTATTTTACTGTTGATGATGAAGAAGTAGTAAATCCAGCGCCAACTTGCGCTCGTGTTGACGATGAAAAGACGCGCAAACACGGCCCCAAAGCCAGAAATCGGCGAGATGATGCAGTACATCAGACTCATCCAGTAAAACCTGTGCTTTACCGGCACAATCTCCGCCAGCACATAGTTGAAAGACGACTGTGCGGAAGCTGCCAGGCCGATGAAGACAGAAGCTGCAATGATCTGGTTCATGTTGTTTGCCGTCGCTCCAATGGCGTGTCCAATAATGGCCACCAGGGACGAGGATGTAAAGAACCAACGACGACCAAAGATGTCAGAGAGACGACCCACAAGTACACCCCCAGCAGTGAGGCAGACATTCCAGGCCAGGATCGCCCATGTATAGTTGCTGGAAGGGCCTGTCCACTGCGTTAATCGTTTCAGACAGTCGAAGCATGATGACGCCACGTACCGATATCCGCATTGATCAGTGTCAATGATGTGGCAGGTAGCAGGAAGCCGCCAAAACTGGAAGACGCAGCAAGGGTGACTGCGGCAAATGTACCATAGAAATTGATTTCGCGATACGGACTTTTTGTTGTGATCTCGACGACATCCAATTCATCGATGTTTGTATGGTGAGGGTGAGGGTGAGGAACATGATGATGGTGGTGGTGTTCCTCGCTCTTGTGAGCTGGCGACTCCACCTGTTGGGTAGTAGGGTTAATTACGTCCTTTTCGACTGTCGTTACCGTAGAATCATTCATGATGACGGTAGTGTGATGGTACTTGATATGGGACAGTGGGTTGCGGACAACTTGGCAAGAGTCGCTGTGATGGGGGGCTGGAGGCAGGCAGACAGATTTATATCATTTACAGGTCAAAGCATCCCCGGGATCATCCCGGACCCCGAATGGAGGATCAATGGCTAGCGAAATGGCTAGTGAAGATGCGGGGTGAGAGATTCAGGCCGTCAGAATGTGAATATCTCGAAAGCAGGTTGTCCCCGGACGACTCTGCTTGTCCGCCCTTACATATGAGTCGGTCATTTGCTGCTCTTCTATCACTGGACTGAGTAGCACGACGTACAATGTAAGCTACTTGTGGGAACTCGTCGCTTTCATAGTACCATTGCTTGGAAAATGCCATTGGTAACACAGTATCGGCGCAGAGAGAATGTTGGCATGGAACCTTTGACTACGGAGCTGATCAGAGGGGAGGGTCCGGCTACCATCCGTATGTGCCGTCCTGCCGCTACCAGAAGTATCTACGGCCGATATGTGCCAAACATAAGCAGTCTCGAGAATGTTATAACAGCATTTGGTGCCATCCACGACTCACTGATAACTGGCCATTTTGAGGGAGTCCAGCGCCCGCGATTTAGAACAAGGAGTTGAAGTCGACGTTTATCGCATCCCGCTCGGTTGCCAGATTCACGTCTTGCTCACTCCCAAAGTCCTCTAGCTGCAATGTGCTTCTAGGAAAGAGATGTGCTCACACGGCATGGACCTCAACGTCCCCTGAACAGGCACATGGACCCACATGCCGAGTATTCGAGTGGGTCCGGTCTGGACGGAGAGTTTCCCCACGGGAAAGACTTTGGGGAAAGGCAGCCTCTCTCCCCTGAGATAGACTCTGGGCTAGGATCTCCCGGTTCCACAACAGCAATTTCCACAGTGTTCAGCAAAGGAAAGGGGGACAGGAGCCCCTCGGGTTGCCTCGGCATGCCGAGGACTCTGCTCCGCGGGATCCACGGTCAAACCGGCCTTCCCCACCAAGACTCGCATTCCTGGGGAAATTCCCAAGGCCCCAGGTTAAGGGATGACGGAACGATTTGCACCCTTGCCGCGTAAAGTCAACTCGACTCTGCATCCGAAGGTCGATCTCTTTGAACTTAATAGGTCTATGGAAAGCACGGCGCTCTATTACTTTGCTTTCTTGTGATCGCTCTCTACCAAACCCAACAGTGTACTCCGAAATGGCCGCGAAATCACCAGATGGTGTCAACGGCACCAAACCAGCGGGGTTCGGAGGCAATCCTGACTTTGAAGCCGCTATCATCGGAGCGGGATTCTCTGGACTTCGTATGTTCTACGAGTTACGCCGCATCGGAGTATCAGCCAAAATCTTCGAAACGGGTTCTGAAGTGGGAGGGACCTGGTACTGGAACAACTATCCAGGATGTCGAACCGACTGCGAGAGCTGGGTTTATGCCCTGAACTGCTCGAAGGAGCTATGTCAAGAATGGACCTGGTCGGAACGCTATCCTCGCCAGCCCGAAGTGAAGCAATACTTGAATTTTGTCGCTGATCGATTTGATATGCGTAAAGACATTCTTTTCAATAGTCAGATCAAATCAGCGCACTTTGACGAGAACAAGAACGTCTGGAATCTTGAAACCAGCAAAGGTGAAAAATACTCGAGCGTTTTCCTGATTCTCGGCACCGGCCTCTTGTCATCTGCCAAACAGATACCGTTTCCGGGTTATGAATCATTCAAAGGGGACTGGTATCAAACCTCGTCCTGGCCCAAAGACAAGGAGGTCTCCTTCAAGGATAAACGCGTTGCAGTTGTTGGTACGGGTGCTACAGGAGTGCAAATCGTCCCTGTAGCAGCCCATGTGGCCCAGTCTGTCCATGTTTTCCAGCGAACACCAAATTACATCTTGCCGGCGAGGAATTATACGGTGACCAAAGAACACGCCACCGAGATCAAGCAGAACTACGATGATATCTGGGCTTGTGCTAGGGGTCAGGTCTTTGGACTGGATATCCCTCCGACGGGGCGATTATATGCCGACGTCAAAGACGATCCGGAAACTGTCCAAAAAGCCTTTGATGCTGGCTGGGAGGCAGGAGGCTTCAATTTTGTCTTTGAAACCTTTGACGACCTGTTCACCAGCGAAGAGTGCAACAAGGCCGCATGTGACTTCTTGAGGAACAAGACAAGAGCGATTGTAAAGGATCCCAAGACTGCTGAGAAGCTGAATCCAGACTACGCCCTCTTCTCCAAGCGGCCTCCTCTGGGACATCGCTATCTCGAATCTTTCAACAGACCAAATGTTCACCTTGTGGACATCAAGGAAAGCCCAATCCAAGAAATCACACCAAAGGGTATTCGTACCAGTACGGACGAGTACGAATTTGACATCATCGTCTATGCCATTGGCTTTGACGCGGTGACGGGTCCGATCACGAGCATGGATATCCGTGGTCGCAATGGTCGTGCAATCGCCAACGAGTGGTCTACAAAGATCGACACCATGCTCGGAATAGGCATTGAAGGCTTCCCGAACCTATTCATGATGTCCGGCCCAAAAGGCACCTTCAGCAATTTCCCCATGATCATCGATACGACGGGGACAGAAATAGGGAAGATGATAAACTATCTGCGAGAGACCGGCCAACAAACAATCGAACCAACCAAGGCAGCTCAAGACAACTGGAACGAACTGTGCGAACAGCTGTACGGTGCCACCGTCATGTCTAAAACAGCGGAGAAGGTGGGATCGTGGTTCACCGGCGCCAATATTCCCGGGAAGCCCACTGGAACACTCTACTATTTTGGAGGCTTGCAGAACTACATTGCAGAGTGTCAAAAAGAATCATCTGCAGGCTTTCCAGGGTTCGTGTTTGCTCGCTAGCTCTCACAAAGCAGATTCGATGGGACAAAAGTGTTGGACGAGGGGGAAGAGAATGTACAGACTGTCACACCCTGGCACAATGATACTCTCAACATAGATTATTACTTGGCGAATGTCTCAAATGAATTGTCCTCGAGATGAATGTGGAGAGAGATGAAAGATGACTCTGTTAATTCTTTCGTTTTGCGATGTGGAGACATACGTTTCTAGTCCTAATCAGGATAGATGTTTAGGGCGTAGTCAGAATAAGACTTTATTCTGACTCGACTTGGCCTAGCCTGCTTCTGATCACGTGAAATTTGTCGTTATCTCTTCCAAATCAAGACTAGTCTGCCTATACTAGACAATCAGGGTCAGGTGGGGAACTCAGGCTTTTCGCCTTGTAATTGTACTTGCACTTGTCGGTAAAGAGGCTTCGGCAAAAGTGCTTCAGTACCCGCGTAAGTAACGCCACCAAGGTTTCCCAACCTCGAACTCCATGTTTTCCCTCGATTTGGCCAGGTTCGCGGGGGAATCTACCTCCTCGTACTTGGGAGACACTTACATTTGAAAGAAATTTTTACCGCACGTCAATCCACAACGCTGTGGGGGCTTGTTTTTTTTTTTCACCTGTGTTTCCAAAATGGCAGAGGATCAGAACCCTGCGAGACCCGCACCTACCAGCTTTCCAGTCGGCCCAGAGTCACATCTAGCCATGCACGCTACCGGTCAGCCACCAAAGCAGGGCAGGGCTTCTCGCGCCTGTCTGCGGTGTCGGGGACGCAAAGTCAGGTGTGATGCCACGAGAAAGCGTGGCAAGTGCACCAACTGTTCACTCGACGGCACAAGATGCGAGTTCGTCCGTCAGAGCCAACACACGCGTGAATCGAGTGCAAATCCTTCCTGGCCTCACGATAAACAAGCCAACCTACGACAAAACACAGCTGCCGTGGCCGGCCAGAATCTGCTTCGTCACAGCCGAAACGTTGGGCCTGAACATGTGCAGAACGATCTGCCGACAATTTGGGATGTTGCGGCTTCCGACGACATTGCAAACCTGATGAGCGGTCCGGATCTGGACATCTTCAATGCTTCTCAACTCGAGCAGCCTCCACTCCAACAACCTCTGGAGAGACAAGCCGAAGACGCCGACTCTGATCGTCAGCAATCGCACTCACCAAGTGATACTGTGAATCTTCGCGGCATCTCGCACTCTCATAATGCCAGACTCGTCGCGAATGACCGGCCAGATTCAAACACTACAGCTGTGCTACCTGACTTCATTGAAGCGTTTTCAGTCAACCATGTGGATGACGTGGATTACCTGCGCCGCAAAGGAGTTTTCACCTTCCCTCCGAAGCCGCTTCAATTTGCCATCCTGAACCAGTACGCGGATTTTGTACACCCCCTCCTTCCGGTGATCGATCTGGCCGAGTTTCGCAGTATTCTTGGTGGGAGTACGAAACACTCCGGGAAGAGGATGCCCTTGTTGCTCTTTCATGCAGTCATGTTTGCTGGGGTAGCGTCGGTTGACCCCGAAGTGGTGATCCGGCAAAGCTACATGTCGAAATTGGCGGCAAGGGAGGCATACTATGAGCGAGCAAAGGTAAGGTCGAGTATTGCCGATTGTCTGTTGGCAGAAGAAACTGACCGTCTGTTTTGTAGACACTGTTTGACATGGACATCGAAAAGGATAAGACGACGATATGCCAGGCTTCCTTACTGCTCCTCGGGTGGGTAAAGGAGAATAATCCCAAAGACGCGACTTATTGGCTTGGTAATGCAATTACCCAAGCTTACTTTTTGAACTTGGACAAGGACAAACCTCAGTTGTCTACGATTTCACATTCTAGAAGCCGGCATGATCGCAACCGACGTCGAATTTTATGGTGGTGTGTGCTCATGAAAGAATGCGATCTGTGCATGTACACGGGACAGCACCCTCGCATATGGCCGTCGGCTCCGACACTGACCCTGAGCGATTTCGGCTTCAACGACACTGACATAAACATGGCAGCCGACAACTCCAGCCATGAGTCACAAGGCGAACGCTTGAAACATGCGCTGGTATGTGTCGAGAAGGCGAAGCTGTGCAGACACATATACCTCATCCTGCAGCATATATTCCACGATGCCGTGGCCTGGGGCTGGACGGGGTCTGGAACGACTCTACCTGCCTTACGACAGTATATGCTCCGTGACCTCCGGCAATGGCATTCTGAAATCCCAGACACTTTGCGATGGGACTCGTTGCTGGCCGGTGTTCCATATGGCGCTTCTCGAGGTGCGGCTTGGGCCATGTCGGTGATCGAGTTGATATACTGGGGGGCACATTTTGTCATCTACAAAGACAACATGACGAGAGACGTCTATGCACGCATCAGAGTCCAGCAGACGACCGAGCACTCACCACAAACCGAGTGGCACTCTTTCCTGGTCAGACAGGCGGGCTACGAAACAACAGCTGTACTTGAGCAACTGTTGAATCACGACCTCCACGGGGCTCTACCCCCGTCTGCCCTGACCAACATCTACCTGGCGACATCAGCGTTGCTTCTTGATTTCAACCACGCAGACTCGGAGATTCGCAGGCGGAGTATCGCTCAAGTCGACGTCTCCATCAAGTGCTCCTTGCCACTAGCTGACCATGGCCCAATCTTGCGAGACGTAGTAAATATGTTGCAGGATACAAGGAAGGCTGTACTCGGTCGTTCGCTCCAGTCATCATCTAGCACTAGCCACTCGGCTCCAAACCCGGCCAAGCGCAACGCAATAATGGCCGATGCCTTGGACGAAGACAATGAAAAGATGGGACAGCAACCTACCGCTGCTGCTGCTGCTGCTGCTGCTGCCGCCGCCGCGGCGCTTGATCCCGCCAGTGATAGAGTGCCTGATATATCGGCTAATCCATTTTCAACCTCTGAATGGTACTCGGATGGAGATTTGGGATTTGCAGAAAACCTGCTGTCTGCCTTTGACTATTCAGGCTATACCTGGGCATGATCATTCTACCCATGTATTGTAACTAGGACCCAGTTTCTCAATTTGTATGAATTGTACCGTATACGCAGCCATGACTTCTTAGTAGCCTCGGATCGGAGATTGCTTGTTGCGACGTATATATATTTGGTACGAGTTCTGAGCATGAGGATGGCTCTTTATACCAAATACAAGGAACTTACCAGAGACCAGACATTCGGACCAACGTGAAACGATTTTTTCGGCTTAGTGGATCGACGACTCGGGTGAGTTCAACCGCCTCATCAGGCCCCGAGGTCAGACTCTTCCAGCGCTCCGAACTCCTCGGCGGCTGCCTAGAGCCTATTAGAACCGTATCGAGTCTTGTGCGTGACGTCGATCCCAAGAACGTCAAGCAAACATTTGGAGGAACTGTTGACTTTTACTTGAAAGCGATTCCTCACGATCGAACACATTGAAATTTTTTGTGTCTTATCATCCTGACCTCCAAACTCGGTCGTCGACACTTACTTGCCTCCCAAAGATGGCCTCCAGTGACAACGAAAAGCCTGCGAAATCCCCAGTCTGCATCATCACTGGCGGTGCGTCGGGCATGGGACTCGCGGTGGCCGAGCACCTGTGGCAGCTGGGCTGGAATGTCACAATCATTGACGTGAACGAAGAGTCGGGCAAGGAAATTGCGGCCGCGCACGGCGATTCGGCTTTATTTTTCAAGGCCAACGTCGCCGACTACGAGGAGCTGAGCGTTACATTTGCAAAGACGTGGGATCGATGGGGACGACTCGATGCTGTCTTTGGAAACGCGGTAAGAGTCTAACCAACCAACTGTGATCGAGAGGGGGACTTTTGTTGTTATTGTTGTTGTTGTTTTACCGAAACTCGAAGAGAGGAAATAAAAAAAGACAGGGCTCATACCTTTTACTCTCTTTCTCTCAGGGTATCGGCGATCGCATCAGCTTCTACAAACCCCAGCCAGACCGAGCCGACGGGACGCCGCCGAAGCCTTCGACAGCGGTCATCGATATCGACCTGCTAGGCCCCATCTACTGTGCCTACCTCGGGTTTCACTTCTTCCGGAAAAACCCAGACAAGTCTGGCAAATTGATCTTCACCTCGAGCATGGCCGGCATCTATCCTGGCCCGACGATTCCGCTGTATACAGCTTCCAAACACGGGGTGTGTTTCCCACCTACAAGAATGCCGAATGTTGTTTGTGCAATGCGTTTAACAAAAACTGATCTCGCTATAGGTGGTCGGATTGACTAGAGCCTTGGCTCAGCAACTGCGTGAACTCGGAGAGCCTGTCACGGTCAATTGCATATGTCCAGGTAAGGCGAGGGACAAGAACTACTAACGTGGCATCCCCATTCCCGTCACTCACTGACGGGGACTTCAGGTCTCGTCCACACGGGTCTGACCAAGATCTATTCCTTCACCACCCCGGAGGAATACATCACGCCAGTGTCCACAATCATCACGGCCTTTATGAGATTCATCGACGACTCTAGTCGAACCGGCCAGGCTGCCGAGTGCAGTGGTGAAAACATCCATTACAGAGTGCAGCCCGAATGGAGTGACGACAAAGCGGAATTTTTGGGGAACGGTGGACTCGCAAAGGCCATGAAACAGCACAATGTGAAGCTGTATTGACTGACATGGAGAGTTATTATTAGAGAGACGTAGCTTTTGGCAATGCTTTCTTTGATTGAGTGTTTCCGAGTGACTTATAGGGAAAAAAGCATGACCAATATATCTATCCCTCTACCTGTCTATCTATCTAATGTATTGCTACTGGTAGACGACAGTTTTCATGATACCGTTTCCACCGTGGCCGAAGCATATGTGGGCGAAAGACCTTCTAATTTCCCGTCCGTCTGCCACTTCTTCAACAAATTTATAGCCGTCAAGGGACTGCCGCCGTATGAGGAACTCTTGGCCAATTGTCTCGTAATCTGACCTTCGTTGTTGTAGTAACCTGGCGTGCACTCGCTGTGAAACGCTCTCGAGTCTTCGCCCGACGCAATGATCATTTCCACCCACTCGTCTTCGGCGGCTTGAGTGGGCTCTATGGCCTGAATGTTCCTCGCCTTACATTCTGAGATGACATATGCAATATGCTCCGCTTGTATGGCAGTCGTGTGCAGAAAGTTGGGCGTGATGAATGCCTGCACGGTTGTGATCATGAAAAAGTTTGGAAAGTCTCTGGTGATCCAGCCCTGGAACGTGCTCGGGCCGTCTGAGAACTTTTCGGATAGAGGCAGCGCCTTCTTGCCGTATACCTCCATTCCAGCGCGATGGGTCCATGACGTTGCTCGCTCGAAGCCCGTGGCGTAGATCAGGCAGTCGAGTTCGTACTCCTGGCCATTCGCCACGACTCCCTTCTCGGTCGCTCGCTCGATCCCCCGTCCTTTGGTGTCGACGAGCTTGACGTTTGGACGATTGAACGTTTCGAGGTAATCGTCGTGGAAGCACGGCCGCTTGCAAAACTGGTTGTAGTAAGGCTTCAAGCTCTCGGCCGTCTCGGGGTCTTTGACGATGCGGTCGACTCGCCGTCTGATTTCTTCCATTTTCTCGAAATCGGCCAGTTGCCTCCGCTTCTCCTTTTCTTCTTTGCTCAGTTCCGCATTGCCGTCTGATTTTGACGGAAATAACCGCAGGATTATGTCGGTCCATCCATCCATAACCAGGTCTTCCTCCTCCGGAGCGCCGCCGATGATATTGTTGAAGTTGTCCATACGTCGCTGCTGCCAACTCCCCGTGAGTGTTTTGGCCCAATTTTGATCCGTTGGTCGGTTGTTGCGCACGTCGATCGAAGACGGGGTCCGTTGGAAGACGTACAACTCCTTTGCCCATTGGCCGAGGTGAGGTACAATCTGAACCGCCGTGGCTCCTGTGCCGATGATGCCCACTTTCTTGTCCTTGAGGTTGACCAAGCCACCGGTCGAGTCGCCTCCGGTGTATTTGTAGTCCCACCGACTCGAGTGGAAACTCCGTCCCTTGAAAGTCTCGATGCCAGGAAATCCCGGTAGCTTTGGCCGATGGAGCGAGCCGGCGACTCCGACCACAAAACGAGCGAATATCTTGTCTCCGTGGTTAGTTTGTACCGAGTACATCGAACTGTCCTCGTTCCAACGGATACTCAAGACCTCTGTCTTGAAAATAGCCTTGTCGTAAAGCTTTAGCTCCCTCGCAAGTCTTTTTGCGTAGTCTAGGAGCTCTGGCCCGTGGGCGTACTTTTCCGTGGGAATGTACCCGATACGGTCCAACAGTGGCATATAGATATAAGACTCGATGTCACACTGCACACCAGGGTAGCGATTCCAGTACCTGGCATAATATGGTCAATACTTGATTTATAACAAAAACGCGTGTTTGGACTACTAACCAAACACCACCGAAATCTGCTCCCTTTTCGAGAATCTTGTAGTCCGAAATCCCGTTCTTCTCGAGATGATATGCCAGGAGCTCGCTTCCGTACCCGGCACCAACTACCACAACGTCGGTCTTGATGTCGAGAGGCTCTCGGCGGTCATCTTGACCGGCCCATGGATCGTCCAGATAGTGAGCCAGAGCACCCTCGACCGATCGATACTGGTCGACCCCATGTGGATTGGCTTGGATTCGCTTTTCACGCTCGGCCAGGTACTTTGCTTTCAACGCTTCCGGGTCGAACCCCAGTTTCTCATCGGTTTTCGCCATCCTTTTTCGAGGTGGCTGAGAACGAACAACAAAAGATTTACCTGCTGCTCATGGTGTGCACAGAGAATATTGTAAGTCAACACTCTCTATCTCTCTATCTATATCTCTCGATTGGACGTCCCGATAAAGTCCTGTAAAATTCTGTTCTTGGGAAGAGTACCGTATGCAATCATACGACGATCCCCATTGACCTAGCAGCATACAAGTGAGCGCCACTTGTTTTCGTTCGTGTTCCTCGGGGCCGCGATTACCACCTCTGGTGGATGGAGTATTGCCATGCCCCCGAGCCAAGGGAGGTGGGAGGGTAATCATGTGGGGCCTCGGTATGCCGAAGTGTGTGTGTGTGTGTGTGTGTGTGTGTGTGTGTGTGTGTGTGTGTGTTGATCCATTTCGGGATTCTAGCTGAGGAAACCTTCTGCAACAGATGTTGCGTCTAGGTCACTGGAAAGGAGAAAGACTTTGGTGATATCTAGTGATGCATGAAGCCCTCGGCACATCATCTGTGTTGAGACATGTGCCACTGGGGTCCGCGCTTGCTGCGGTCCTACCAATCTCTACAAACATATCTCGTAAGTATTACTGGGAGTATTTTAGGTATTGGTAGGTAAGTAGGCGCCTTGGCATATGTATTTGTGCCTTCCAGATAATCCAGAAACCATTGTTTTGTCCTTGACCGTGATCCCACACGCCTTGCCCGGATATGTCGCAAGTATAGTCATGTCAGTCCTTAATCTCAGCGAGCCATGGGTCTTGGAGCAAGAAGCTTATAATCATATATCAATGGAAAGTTCAAAGTTCTGTTCCTGGCTTGCCCACCCACTATACGCTATGACAGTGCTTCGTAAAATGCAGCGACGTACGCCGAGGATCGAGAATTGCCAATGGTGCCTTGTTCCATGTGGTTCATGGTATAAGCAAAGGTGATTTTCTTGTCAAGGTCCATGACGACAATTGAGCCGCCCCAGCCTCCCCAGAAACAGACCTTGCCCTTGGGAAGCCACTTGAGAATTGGTGCCTCCAGGCAATACCCAATGCCAAAGCGTACCTCTATACCAAGAACCAAGTCTGTACCATTCGACTGCGTTTCCCAGATGCGGTCGATGGTGGCCGGAGATAGCAGACGTTGCCCGTCAACCTCGCCACCAAGCGTGATGGCAGAGAGCATCTTACAAACTGACCTTGCATTGCCGTGACCGTTCAGAGCACCCATCTCGACCCGCTTCCATTCGTCCGTCCAGGAAGCTTTGGCGTCCAATAGAGGATTGCTCAATGTCTTTGCCATGACAGATTTTGGATCGATTTGAGACAGGTCCATATGTGGTGGTGGAACGACCTTTGCAACTCGATGCCACTCGCTCTCCGGACAGCCGACGGAAAAGTCAGCCTTGAGCGGTCCGGCGATTTCCTGATTCACTACCTGGCCGAGTGTTTTACCTGAGGCGGCTTGAATGACCGGTTGTAACAAGTGACCCATAGTCAGAGCGTGGTAGCCAGAAGCGGTGCCAGGTTCCCACCAGGGTCGCTGAGCGGCAAGCTTCGCGCTGGCGCTGGGTACATCTTCGACTCCTTCAATGTCGATGGGATCGTCCCAACCTGAGAGTCCAGATGTATGGGAGAGGAGATGGCGAACTTTGACGTCTGACTTGCCCTCAGCTGCAAATTCAGGCCAGTACTTTGCCACAGGATCGTCGAGCCCCAGCAATCCTCGGTCGGCGAGAATGAGAGTAGCGAGTGATAGGACGGTCTTCGTTGTTGACCAGACGTTGACAATGGTGTTCTCAGTCCACGGCTTGGTTCGTTCTTGGTCGGCCCATCCTCCCCAAAGATCGATCACATTCTTACCATCGATATTGACACAGATTGAGGCTCCAAGCTCCGCGCCAGAATCCAGAAATCCTTGGAATAGCTCTTTCACCTTGAAGAACCGCTCATCGCAGCGACCTTCTACCGACATGGTGGTGGGATTAAGATACAGGACGATTAGAAATGACTCAGCCTGAGGAATCTTTGTGCGGGGGATAACAGGTTTGTATATACCTCCCGAGGGCAAGATGCAGACACCGAGAACGGGCCGGGCACCCGTGAAACTCAATTTGCCGGCCTCGGACAACCACTACCCGTGGTAATCTGGGGTTCTGTTGCTTACCAAGGATTTGGTTGCATTATCACAACGGGTCTCTGTTCAGTCTGCATCTGGATATATCATCCGGTAGGCATCGCTAGTGTTGACCAGGAACTGGCTGGGTGGACACCCTCTGAATACCAAATCAAAGACCCATGGATTGCTGAGTTGGAAGGTAGCCAGTATGCTTCAAATAGCACAGAAAACTCGAAGTACTCTGACCGTGTGGTGACTGTCCATGTGGAACAATGTAGGAGTGCATGGTACAAGGTACTGTTTATCCAAGAGTCCGAAAGTGTCTGCAAACAATTGTTTTTCGGGTGCGCTTTGCTGCAAGGAGAACCGGCAACCGGTACGAGTATTCCACCAGTCGGCGGCGTGTTCTAGAATAGGGGACCGGGGGTGCCTATAAGTGGAAATAGTACTGCGGGGGACTTGGCAGAAAACAAAGGGAAACGGGCGTACACCTAATGAGGAAAGTTTGACGACGTACCGTGCAGTCTTGGCCCTGATGTTCGCTGCTAGTTGATGATTGGCTGACGGTGTCGGCGACTGCTGCGCCGAAAGTCCGTCCCTGAACCACAACTTTTTCGTTTGCGCAGTTGAACTCGTTTTGATGCGCCCGCATTGAACTACCTGGGTAGAGAGCCTCATGAAGACACCAAACCACCTCCGCACAGCTTGTCGCCCCTTGTACATCTGTCGAAGCTGTCGCAGCCACCTTCGCGATCGGAATCCACCTCCAAGCGCATCGGCCCCACGAAGATGGATCACGCAAGCCCACGTGCGACGGATACAAGAAGCGGAGGAAGAATGGCGTGCAAAAGCC